GTGAGTGCAGCAAATTGGGAACAACTACTTTGTGGGAACACAGGAGGGCTCAAGTAGTTGATTAAAGGGGATTACAAGGGGCCAGTTAGCCTGTGAGACATATAAATCCTGTATTTCCTGGAACCTGGTGATAATGTTTTAGAAATGGGTCATAGTAGTAACCGACATCAAGCACTGCCACATTGGACACGAGCAGAAAGTCAAAGGGTGAAGCTGAGATGACCTTGTTGAGAGAGGGCGGTGGGAGGTGGACAAAACACTGATGCCCTGTGTTTGGAAGAGTCGGTTCCCACAGTGAGGCGATAAAGGGCCACCATCTGGGGAGCTAGAAGTAAAGGTCAGTAGAATTGAGAATAGTAAGATGAAGGAATAGATGTTGTAAGAAAAAGCTAGCAGAGTAATTTGAGGTCTTGAAGTAGAGATGGACATATTCTTGAGGTTAGGTTCTGAGGCTGTCTCTAATCACATTCAAATTACTTAGCTGCCCTCACAGCAGTTAGTCATCACCTAGCCTGTTCCTTTTTTTTTTTTTTTTTTTAAAGAACATTAACCTCTTTCCATTTGACTCTGGATTTCTAATTTCTATACTGTCTCACTTTCCTGGTTCTTTCTGCATGTTAGAGATCCTAAACCATAAACTGGTATTCATAACATTTGTTTCACATGAAGCACAATGTTATCTGCCAAACCCATTTAAAATGGACTAGTGGAAATTGCCTCAGAAGCCAAACAGGTTGCACCTGTGTACAAGGGACCAGGTGTCTCTGAAGGGCTCCTAGATCTTTTGTATTCTTGCTGGCACAGTGTCAGGCTGGCCAGGTTGGTAAGTGGCGAACAGTTAAGATTTTAGGTGATCTAATCCTTAACTTGATTGATAGATGCTGGGTGTAATCTACAGATTCTGCATAGAAATTAGCACTTATCCCTGGGAGAGCCCCTACCAGCTGTCAAGTGCTTTACCAAATAGCTCTATACTCAAGAATGAGGCTTCTGGGTGAGGGAACAGTCGTAGTCATTTTACAAGTGGTTAGAGAGAAGGCTTGGGTGATGAAAGATTTTAGCTAACCTACACACTATAGGTAAACATTTCCAAAAACATTGCATAACCTGAATACAGAGTGAATTGTTTTCCAGTAAATACTGGCTTCAGCATTTTTCAAAATCAAGGAATGGTATATTTTATAGAATGGGAAAACTAAGAAATGAAACTTGACCTGTTGTAAAACTAGGATTTAGTGCTGTTGAATTTCAATAATGGGCATACAGGGTACATTAGGAGTAAATGTCGAAGAATAGGGTCGTGATGGGATCTGATACAGGGTGGAAAAAATTTCTCTTAACCAGAAACACTGGGCCCTAAGAAGTTGTCTTAGGGTCAACCATATGAATTTAACATACAAAAACGGCAATTTAATTTGGTTCAAACATTCATTTCAAACCTTTGTCTTTTCCTTGTAAAGAATAAAGTTCAGTTCACGATATACCAGAGTTAAAATTGCACAGATGTCAGTATTCCACTAGAGAAAAAAAATTTTTTTAAAAAGCGAAAAAGTAAAATTTGAGTTCAAGTAGTCAGATATTCTTTTATAGTCTTACTACTTTAGGGAACAAACCCTTCCTAGGTATAAAATCCTGGGAAAAAAATGCCATAGTTGCCACCCTATTAGTAACTAGTTTCCATGACCCATATTTGTCGGAGAACCTACTTTCAGTGACGTTTACATTTTTACCTCAAGTTGCCTCAATTTCCCATTTATTAAAACGGCTGTATTCCCTCTAGAATTAAAGCTGAAGGGAAAAAGCAATTTTTAGTGATTCTCCTTATTCTACCAACTTGTTCTTGAAGCTACAGTCACATCCAGTGTTCCTACCCCCAATGTTTTTTGTTTTAAACCTTCGACCACTCGAGATATGTCAGCATTTCTGCTTAGTCATGGCATATTATTACGCGGTGCAAACTACTGATATAAACAGTGACTTGTGATAGATTTTTTTTCCCTTCTGTACTAAATCAGATCATTTCTCCTAGTCAGCAACTTAACAAGAACAAAGTTAAAGATCTGACCTTAGGAAGGTAATTAAGGTGGATGAAAACACGGCAATACTACCAGGACTGATGGAATATTGCTCAAGTGCAGTGGCTGGGGTCTAAAAGAAACTTAGAGATCTGGTATGTTTCCAACTGAATGTAAGTGAAATAGCATGTTAAAGTCAAATTACGTGGCTTGTTTAAAAGTCACCCTATTAGGGGCTTCCCTGGTGGCGCAGTGGTTGAGAGCCCGCCTGCCGATGCAGGGGACACGGGTCCGTGCCCCGGTCCGGGAAGATCCCACATGCCGCGGAGCGGCTGGGCCCATGGGCCATGGCCGCTGGGCCTGCGCGTCCGGAGCCTGTGCTCCGCAACGGGAGAGGCCACAACAGTGAGAGGCCCGCGTACCAAAAAAAAAAAAGTCACTCTCTTAACAGCAACCACAATTCTACTGCTTCCTGTTCTTCCATTTTCTTTCCTGTTCAATTGCTTGAAGCCCTCAAACAACTCAAGTTCTGATTCTGCAGTATCCCTGTAATTCCTTTCTCTGTGTATTTACCTACTTCTATCTTTCAATGTGCATTTGCATCTTGGCACCATAACAAACAATTAAAAAATGCCATCTAATGCATTATGCCACCGAGCACTGTAGCCAGTGATTTTAAGTGTACCAGATTATCTTCAGGTTGCAAAGAGCGTAAGCTGAAGAAATGAATGACTACATCTTAACGAAAGGCAGGGGTCAAAACAACTTATGGTTAGTTTGAAAATGCTTTAAGGCCCGACTATCAGAGCTGACTGAAAACATTTGAGTTAGGCAGAGTTGTTATGTGAATAGTGAGAAGTGTTACAGACACAGTAGCCATATATTTTAATTAAAATAGAGTTTATTAGATTTTTTTTAATATAAACATGAGGAAGAAAAACCACATAAGTTGTAGCATATTCTTTTCAAAATAAAACTGCAATCAGTACTTGAAGCTCCAAACTCCATAAACAATATTTTTTGAGGTGGTAGATTGTAATATTTTACACACCGTAATTTATCATTTATGTCTCTGTCCTTTAAAAATGATGGAACCTGCAGCACTCAATATAATGTGAAGCCTTGCTATAAAGAGAGAAAGTATTTCTGGCCCAGAAATGCTTTGTTTACAGGCAGAATTCCTAGGATTACATTTGAGAAGGTAGGAGGAGAAAGATTTCACATAGTTGAGAACACTAACTTTTTTTTTTTTTTTAATATTTCAAGTTTAGGTGACATCGTTACCAATCTCCTAAAAGACTGATTACTGGACCTCCCTGCCTTTTAAAGCCTGAGGTAAGGGTTCCTAAGGTTTACATGTTTCCTCTTAAATAGCAGAACTTGAAGTGAGACACCTACAGCCAGGTTAACACATAGGATAGAAAAACTGTTTCGTATCACTTACTCTATCACTACTATTAGGGTCCAGTTCCTTTCAATTTATTACATGTGAATTAATACTGTTGTTCATAATTCTTTTACCAAATCTAGAAAAAAGAAACTTAGGTGATCAAGCAGGTAAGCAGCCCAGCCTTGCAAAGGACTATTTTAGAAAGAGAAGGGCAGGTCTATGAAGATACAAGGTATCCCCTTAAGTCTTAGTGCAATTTTAAGCTTTGATACTTGTAGAAGGATAAATGCCACAAACTTACAAAACATCATTTGAAAGTTTAACTGAATTTCTTCTAAACTCATTTTTTTAACATCTTTATTGGAGTATAATATTGCTTTACAGTGGTGTGTTGGTTTCTGCTTTGTAACAAAGTGAATCAGCTGTACGTATACATATATCCCCATATCTCCTCCCTCTTGCGTCTCCCTCCCACCCTCCCTATCCCACCCCTCTAGGTGGTCACAAAGAACCAAGTTGATCTCCCTGTGCTATGCGGCTGCTTCCCACTGACTATTTTACATTTGGTAGTGTATGTATGTCCATGCCACTCTCTCACTTCGTCCCAGCTTACCCTTCCCCCTCCCCATGTTCTCAAGTCCATTCTCTATGTCTGCGTCTTTATTCCTGTCCTGCCCCTAGGTTCTTCAGAACCTTTTTTTCTTTTTTAGATTCCATATGTATGTGTTAGCATACAGTATTTGTTTTTCTCTGACTTACTTCACTCTGTATGACCTCACTACAGCTAACCCAATTTCGTTTCTTTTATGGCAGAGTAATATTCCATTGTATATATGTGCCGTATCTTCTTTATCCATTCATCTGTCAATGGACACTTAGGTTGCTTCCATGTCCTGGCTATTGTAAATAGAGCTGCAATGAACATTGTGGTACATGACTCTTTTTGAATTATGGTTTTCTCAGGGTATATGCTCAGTAGTGAGATTGCTGGGTCGTAGGGTAGTTCTATTTTTAGTTTTTTAAGGAACCTCCATACTGTTCTCCATAGTGGCTGTATCAATTTACATTCCCACCAACAGTGCAAGAGGGTTCCCTTTCCTCCACACCCTCTCCAGCATTTATGGTTTGTAGATTTTTTTTTTTTTAATATGGAACGCTTCACGAATTTGCGTGTCATCCTTGCGCATGGGCCATGCTAATCTTCTCTGTATCGTTCCAATTTTAGTATATGTGCTGCCGAAGCAAGCACGTTTGTAGATTTTTTTGATGATGGCCATTCTGATCTTAAGCTCTTAATTTTAGTTTTTTATTTCAGCCCATTGTTTGCTATCCTCAAGAGGGGCTGAAACAAAATATTAATATTAAAAGCTTAATGTTTAAAATTTACAAAACTAAATGAGTTTAGAAGAAATTCAATTAAACTTTCAGGTGATGTTTTGCCAGTCTGTAGCATTTATACTTCTGCAACAGTGTTCTGGAGTATCCAAGCACACTATATTAAAGCTTGAAATTGCACTAAGACTTTTGGGACACCTTCTATTTCACTGCCGGCTTGTTAATTACTGGACCACCATGTTGGCTGGAATTATGAAAATATCCTTTAATACAAGTATTTAACAAAGAGGAAAATCATCACAAAATCAGAAGCACCATCACAGTTAACAAGAAATGCAGCATGGACCCAATAGAAGTAAATAACCTACTTTCTCTGTTTATGATCCCACACATGCTAATATGCTAATAAGTACTGCCTGCAAAGAATGTGGATGACAAGTGTTATTCAGCAGCTTTTTGGTTTAAACTGATTGCCAATAATGACTAGCAGCTTCAATGATATAGTAGGGAGGAAGAACCCTTCAAAACCTAATGATGCTACAACAGTCTGTTCCTAAGTTTGGCTTTATGAGTTGTTAGGAGTCACATTTTTTAATGGTAATACTGCACTGATTCTAAAGGAATATGCAGCAGCATGGGACAGTGAGGCAAGAAAAACAGGAAAAATTATATAGTTAGTGTCTTTAAAGTCTAAAAATTTAAACTATTAATTAAAAAACCTCACATAGTTCACAGCTATCGGCCTACATAGTAAGCAGATATCTGTGCGTGGATTGGGAGCTTTCGGCTTTGGAGTGGTTTTTGTAACTCTGTTTACATTAAAAAGGACAGAAGAGTGTGTTACATTGATGAGGTCCCGTTCTTTCCTACGGCATAATCTTCGCTTGTCCATGAGTCTCTTGAATTCAGTGTCTTTCTTTAAGGTGATTATACTAACTTTGCTGGTTTCTGAGCAGGAGAGGTGATATTTCTCCAGTCCTTGTTACGAGGGGTTTATGATGTTACAACCCCTCACTTCTCCCTTAAGAGAGGATGGCACTGGAGCGCTGAATACCAATGAAATTATCAGCGCTGAAAGACCTTCTCATAGCAGCTCTACACAAGTCTTTGTATTTGTCTTCACACAATCTGGAAATGGCCTAGGAAAGTCAATCAGGTAGAACATAGGTACAATTAGGGGAAAAAAAAATGTTTGGACCTTAAAAAAACAAAAAAAAGCATCATTGATAAGGCACACATCTACATTCGTTTAGATAGTTCATAGTTACTGCTACTTTGGATAGCTGATATCTACACTAACTGACAATTCCCTAAGGTAATAACCTTTAAGGGCTATGATTCGATTGCTGGGGCAAGGGATAACTTGCCCTAATAACTTGGAGTTACTTAAAAATTGGGTTCCTAATGATAGGCTCCTAATAGCAATATCATCTGTTACCTACACGCTTGATCCTTAAACGTAATGGACATACACTTGGGCAAAATCAGTGTTTACTCAGCTATTCAACTTCTATTCAATTTTCATTAGTTATTGCATACTCTAGGAAAATTTTAATGAGGTAGGTATGTGCTGAAGGTAGGAGAGGTCTAATGACAAGCGCTGAAAGGTGCTATTTCACTTGCACATAAATTATGGTAGAAAAACATCTTATTCTAAAGTACCACCAAGGTACCACAGAAAGTATCCATTTTAAATGTGTTCATTTCAGTTGTGAATTTTGCTGTATACCCACCAAAAATCATAAGCCATAAATATTACTTTGTTCCATGTACGTTACCATTTACATTAAAAACTCATGTACTTTCTACATCCAGTATCTGAACCCACATTATACCTTCCAAGTACAGGTCTCTCAGGTTAGCCACCGGTGCTTTGTCTAATAAACTCATGGGACTGAACTGTGACACACACACACACACACACACACACACACACACACACACAAACACACACACACACAAACACACACACACAAACTGCAAGCTGAGTAAAAAACAGTTAAGAGGGACTTCCCTGGTGGCGCAGTGGTTAAGAATCCGCCTGCCAATGCGGGGGACACGGGTTTGTGCCCTGGTCCGGGAAGATCCCACATGCCAAGGAGCAACTAAGCCCGTGCGCCACAACTACTGAGCCTGTGCTCTAGAGCCCGTGCTCTGCAACAAGGGCAGCCACTGCAATGAGAAGCCCGCGCACTGCAATGAAGAGAAGAGCCCGCTCGCCGCAGCTAGAGAAAGCCCGCGTGCAGCAGCGAAGACCCAATGCAGCCATAAATAAATAAAATTATTTATTTAAAAAATCAAGACAGTAGAAATAGTAGAAATAGTCCAAAACATCAATTATAAAAAAAAAAAAAAGACAGTTAAGAGTGGTAAGTAGATTATGTAGGTACATATGATTAGGGATACAATTTTAAGAAATTATTCACGTATGGTTATATGTTAAGTGTAGAGGTTCCAATGGAAAACCATTAAGAGCAGATTAAATATGATTTAAAGTATTCTGAATTATGGTTACAGAAGAGACTTTTTTTTCCTATAATGTGAGATCCCTGTATAAACCATAAAAGACACAGGAAATATGATGCCAACGGGTTAATAAGCTCTTCAAACTGTTAACAGCTTTCCATTTTCCTAATCACTGCTTAATATAATTTAGCTACAGATGTGGCTTCGGTGGCTGACAGAAAACCCCCGTTAGTGATTTCACAGCCTTACCTCTAAGTTCTGTGCTCGCTCTTTGCTAAGAGGAGTGAACAGAAAATTCAGGTTGTTGTCATCTGCTAAGGAGCGCAGGTCAAAGTAGTATTTGGCGTACACACTGGCCGGGACGTTAATATTGAACTGAAGCAGCTCCAGGAAGTGCCTTTCCATCTCATTCCTGGGGGAGGAGAAGACAAAACCAACACACGGCAAGTTAGTCAACTGGGCTATAGCTTCAGAAATACCAGTGAGCTACTAGGATGGCTCTAAATACTGTTTTGAAACAAATAATGGCTACCCAGCTGGATTAATACCCTAATGTTCAAACAAGGTACAGCTATTTGTGGTCCTTTCTGCGGCCCAGCACTTTGAGTCTGGGACAAGGGGGAAGAGGTTATGGCCCTCTTATGCACTCATGCTGCTGACTCAGGGGCTCTTTCTTCAGAGTTCCATTAGTGCAGCTGTACGATTCATGCTCCACACTCACACAAGGCCCCGCTATAGTGATCAGATGAAAGGAATGATGTATGCTGTTTATTAGCTCTGAAGAACTTGCAGACATTTTCACCGGGCTGATGACAGGAAGGGGCTTATTGAAGTAGAGGGGAGCCAACAAAAGGAGTGGGCACATCACCACGGCAACAAATGGATCCATCGGGAGCCACTGCTATTATCTCTGAGGGGGGGAGACTCTTGAGGCAACAAGGATTCATCTCAAGTAAATAAATAAATAAGCTACATTCGATGGGAAAGGGAATCCCCCCCCCCACACACAATGCATGGGGCTGTGTCAAAGGACATAATGCAAGTTTCTGTTCACCTTAACCTTACTAGGGTGAGTTGTTGTCACCATAACAGGACAGGATGCACTTTTTAAGCTTAGGAAGGCAGTAAGATTATGTCTCAGCTAGACTAAACCCACTTTACAATATGACCTCTGATAGAGCAGTTGTTTTCCCCCCGGTGTTAGGAGAGCAGCCCAGGATGTTCAGACCTACCGCCCCCTGCCAGGTGCCAGGACAGACTGCACACGCCCACAGGGGGCGAATTCAATGAAGTGGGAAAGTAGAGTGTTGGGAGCAAGCTTCTGCTATATGACCATATCCAGCCATTTGCTTGCCAAATGTTTAAGTAAATAACTATAAAATTAGAGTAAATCTTACCACTTTTCACAGCAATCACTTTAGAGAGTTGATTATATAAAAATGATAAATACCCAAACAAACATGCGAGTGGCTTATTTTACAATACATTTGGTTTCTTGGTTTTAAAGTGTTAATATTTTATCCATTGGATAAATCAACAAATGCTTCATGTTCTCCTGTATGGAGAGCAGAGTATGAGCAGAAATGAGGTTTCTCATTTGTTGAACTTTAAACCTAACTCAACCTACTTCCAAAATTAATTTCCTGTTCATACGGCCAGAAGTCTATAGAAATGTAAATCAGATAATGTTTTGATAATCAGCTAATCAGGACTTAATTTACTACAGGAATAAATGTACTTCACTACCCCTTTTATATTTTCTCCACTAATACATTTTAATTGTGTGGAAATACAGTACTTCATAGGGTTAACGTGTCTACTAATAGAGCTTTAATCACTGAAGAAAAGCATTATGCCTATAGAATATGGACCTCCTGTGGTTTTTGTTGTTTTTTAAATGGCTAGATGGCTGAAGAGCATACCATTTACAGGCGCGGCAAATCTTCTGAACAGCAGCTGCTCAGTTTAACTTACTCTTTTGAAGGGAAATATATATTTAACAAGACACATAGATGCTAGAAAGTTTTAAGGAAAAGCAGATAGGCAGCCATTTTTCAATTCAGACTCAAAATGAGACCATTACAAATAGCAGTCAACAGCAGAGGGATGAAACGCATGTGTATTAAACACTTTGCTGTAATGCTTTCCGACCTCCAAAGATCATAAACAAAAGCAGCCTATTATAAACATAACTCCTGGTGATTCTCTGTTCTACACAGAAAAGCATTGTTTAGAATTAGTTTCTTCATAGCTGGACACTGCTGCCAATGCTCCTGGGCTCACATCTATGAACACCCACACACTTCCCTGCATGTTCTCTGATGTTGTACCTGGAACCAGAGCCCCAGTCAGCTCAGTTGCAGATTCTGAGAAAATTTCAGCTGCCATCATGGCAGGGATGGTGTTCACGATTACAAAATTTCCTTCCTTCAAGGGACCAGTTTAAAGACTGATGATAGTGTTGGTCAACGTCACTTTAGTTTCTGCAACTTCCAAAAGTACTTCTGTTCATTTCAAATTCATTATCTGCTGTTACACTGTTTGCTAAGATTGCTACCAGCAATATCACCATGACCACCCGGTTTACATTATCACCGAAGTGGACATTTTCACCAAAAGCCACTTTGACAGCTACTGACAGTCACTGGTCCCATCTCTTAGTCACAACTTTCCTCGCTTCAGCTGTAAATATGCACTTTGGTAATTCTGAATTATCTAGAGTAAGGGGCAAAGGTAACGAGAACAAACTCTTGCCCCTGCCTGCTATCTTGATCGGCCTCTGCTGTCCAATATAATCAACAGGTGTCCTTTCACATTTTCCTGAATGCCACCCGCAAGAATTTTCACTGTCAAGCAGGCACTTCAAGAGTCTGCTGGAATTACCTCTCGGGCTCATCCTGCTTCCCACCCTTGGGGGCCCTTCACCGGAGCCAGATTGGAAGCCTGGTGTTTCATGCCAATGTGAGCGTGCCATCTGTGAGGAGAACCTGCCTAGTTAACTCAAGGCCCCACAAAGTGCTGCTGTGTTTGCTAAGTGCCCTGGGTGAGGCCCCAGTGATGCTTCCCGGCCTACCTGAGAGGCAGGCGTTTCCTAACTCAGCAGACTTTAGGGGAGGAGACAGGAACACAGGGATCTGAAACCTTTATATGTGGCTACCTGTACATCATAGTTTCTGTAACAACAGAACCTCAGATAAAAAGGAGAAAAAGACCAGCAAAAGCAAATACACAATGTGTGACTCAGGTTGAAATTATAACCTGTCAGTAGTCTAGAGGCCCTAAGACCTTAACAGTGGCCACTTGCTTCAAAGACCAGGCATGTGCCCCTTAAAAATGGACTGGACCTGGTAGACAGCTTTAAGAAAGCTGTGAAGTTACTTGCTGTACCATGTTATTCTGGTAGTGAGCTTGTAAAATGTTTGGCAAAAACCACCAGAAAAATAATTTCAATTTATCAAGCAGAATATTACAACAATAACACATCAAGACCTACCAATTAATGAGGGGAAATACAAATTGTTATACTACAGCTAGATAGAAAGAAGTCTAATTTTATGTCTATTTCAGCTCTCTGCACAAAGTAACATTTCTTAATATGTAAACTTTATGGGAGCAAATGAGGTATTGGAAGAGGGTTAGAAAGTTCATCATAACCTTACAAACTCACATGTCCTCAACTGTAATGTCCTTGAGGATCTGGCAGTAGTCCACATTCCATACAGCCTGATCGTCCCAAACCTTGGAGGCAAGAAGAATGGCTCCCAAAACAATTCTTTTCCAGTTAGTGGGGCAAATGTCGATCTCAGCATAAGTTAAAAGCCTTTCTAAGTAAACCTGCAAAAGTAGAGCACTGATCTTTGATTTTAGTTCAGTTTAAGTGCTGTGATAAGAACTGTTAGGAATGACAGATTTCATCTCTTTTTGACATGCCTTTTATTCCTAGGTTCTACAAAGACTTTGCTTAGCCAAGCCAAGGCCAGAGGCCAGGTCACAGTTGTAAGTCAGATATTTCTGTTAGTCTGATATTTCTACTCTGCCCGTGTGAATTTCCAACCCAATTTTGGTCACAGGAATGAAAGGACATCTCGGCAAAGGGCATTCTAAAGACACGCATTGTATTATTACCTACCCACTTGTAAAGGGCAGCACATACACAGCCCAGGGTTGATTTCAACTGTTCAGTAAATGCTTGAGTGCCTACCACGTGCAATGTACCTACCAGACTGGTGGTGGTTGCATGGTGATTTTACATAATGCTTGAGTGTGTAAAATTCTGGTAAGACTGAGCACATCTTTATCTTCTCTTCAGAGTAACCAGTCCTTTTGTGGCATGAACTTGAAGATAAAAACTGGTGGTCAAGAGAGCCTCCCAGTGGCTGCTGTGTGGCACAGCAGGACAGGCAGTACAAAGGGGCTTTACAACTGTCAAGTATTCCCATATTTTAGTGCCTTTTTAAGGAACACACATGCATACAAAGGGTAGTCCTTTTCATATCCCCTATTTTTCACATCTCCATTATCATTTCATTATTCATTTCTGTCTTCCATAATCTGCAGCTTAGTCAATTCTTTTGGTTTTAAGGTGGGAAGAGCTGCCTGTGTCTGTATCCCTGGGGCTCCTCTAAACCTGCCGGTTTGTGAGATGATTTCATGGTTTCTTTTACATGTATCAAATGTCTATCCTACAAAGAACTGGATGGAGTTAACAGCTGAGTAAAGATTACAGAGGTAAGCTGTGATTTGTTGTTACCTCTGCAGAAGAGTATATATGCCATTTGACAAAAAGAAAAATGTCCAGTTTTAAAGAGTATGTTTACTCTGAAGGGTTATCAGATTGACAGCTCAGATTCGCCAATGCTCTCCAAACTCTACTGTGTTTTCAAACACGGGTATTGAGATTATATGTTCTTAGTGAAATTCTGCTCCCATTCCCCAGAGAACTCAGCACTCTCTAGTACCCTAAGAACGACTCTCCCTGCAAGGTTCAACTCTCTACTTTATGGGACTAATCAGAGGCACTGAAACGACACTGGCGATCTCTCAACTTCCTCTCACCTTTATACTGGCAAACTTGGTACACGTGCCGATACTCCTTTATCCCCCTTGCCCTCCTGTCTCGGAGGAAGCGAGATTTCTTTCTTTTCACCGAAGCTAACTCTTCTATGAATGAAGCTGATCCCGTCTCACTTCCGCAGAACACTGTTCGCACAGTTAGTCTCTTTTTGAACAACTTCTCCCTCTCAGTCAGAGGCTTCCCCCAGTGTGAATGCTTACATGTCCCCAGCCTGTCTCCCGCCTGTCCCCCAGATGGCGTCCTCATCTCCCACCCTCTCCTTAACCCACTTCAGTCAGCCTCCTGCCGCTACCACTCTACAGAGGCTACTCTTGCCATGGTCACCGGTGCCTTCACACAAACAACCCAGAGCTCTTCATCCCAGAGCTCCACTCCCCAGGCCTTCCCTCATACTGAAAGAGCACTGCCACACGCCCAGTCGCTGGGACCAAAAACCTGCACTTGAGTTATCCTGCTCCAATCTGTTAGAACTTCTTGTTATCTCTACCTTCACTGGTACCCTGACCGCTTTTCTGTCTGTCACTTCTGACTTGTATCGCTGCCACTGCCTAACTTCTCTGCCTCCACTCTGCCTCCCAACAGAGTACAGTCTGTTCTCCCCAAAGCAGCCAGGAGAGCCTCTTAAATTAAGAGTACTTTATGCGGCTGCTCCAGATCTGCCAGAGGTTTCCCATCAAACAAATACCTTCTTTCCGTGGCCTGCAAGTTACGAGGCCCTGTGCGGTACGGCATTGTCCTTCTGTGACCTCATCACCTATGTTCTTTCCCTCATTCCTCACTCTGATCACAATGGCCACCTTGCTTTTCCTTGAACACACAGCATGTTCCTGTCTCAGAGCCTTGCCCTCATCCCCTCTGCCCATAATGCCAGCGTTCCTGCTCTTCCTCAGCTCAGCCAGGTGCTGGGTTCAAACATCACCTCTTCAGAGAGGCTCTTCCTGATCTTTCTAGGAAGCCCCTCTAATCGCTTTATCCCTTTACCTTCCTTTCTCTTCATGGTTTTTACCACTACTTGAAATAGTCATCTTTTAAAAAATACTCATTGGGGCTTCCCTGGTGGCGCAGTGGTTGAGAGTCCACCTGCCGATGCAGGGGACAGGGGTTCGTGCCCCGGTCCGGGAGGATCCCACGTGCCGCGGAGCGGCTGGGCCCGTGAGCCATGGCTGCTGAGCCTGTGCATCCGGAGCCTGTGCTTCGCAACAGGAGAGGCCACAACAGTGAGAGGCCCGTGTACCGCAAAAAATAAAAAATAAAAATAAAAAAAAATAAAAAATACTCATTAAAAAAAAACTTAGAGTTTGCTATACACCTGAAACTAACACAACACTGTAAATCAACTGTACTCCAATTTAAAAAAAAAAAAAAAAATTATGTCTTCCACACTTGCTCCATAAAGGCAAGAACTTATTTATCCAACCTATTTTCTCCTCCAGCCCCCCACATGTAGAAAAGTGACACAGAGTAGGTATTCGTGGGTATATATGACATGAGCAACTTCTTGGTAGCATTTAGCGTTTGGACCACATTCTCATTCTTGAACCTCTCCTGGTGTCTATGATTTTCTGCTGGGTTTCCTACCACTGTAGCGGCTCCTCTGGGGATTTGTCCCTTAAGTGCTGATAGTCCCTACAGATCTATCTTCTACCCACTTTTTTTTTTCGCGGTACGCGGGCCTCTCACTGCCGTGGCCTCTCCCGTTGCAGAGCACAGGCTCCGGACGCGCAGGCTCAGCGGCCATGGCTCACGGGCCCAGCCGCTCCGCAGCATGTGGGATCTTCCCGGACTGGGGCACGAACCCGTGTCCCCTGCATCGGCAGGTGGACTCTCAACCACTGTGCCACCAGGGAAGCCCACGCACTTTTTATTTTACATACTTTCTCTGCATTTGAACAGCTACACTTAATTCCCTCCCTCTAGCTCAGATTCCTGCTCCAATCCTATATATTCCAATGATTACTAGACACTGCCATTCTGCTGTCTCGCAGGGACATCAAGCTTAACTTGGCTACAAAGAAATGCCCCTCTTCCAACCCAAATGCTCTCCTTCCTGCATTTCCTAGCTCTCCATATGCAAGCACCATTCCTGCCTCTCTCAAGCATGTGCTAAGCACTCCAAGTGGCCTGTAAGCTCCAAGAAAAGGCCTGTGTCTGATCCAGTACCCACTGAGGGGTCTCTTTTCAAAAGGACAAGCCTCCTCTCCTAAATTCTGCCTTGATAGGAGCAGGCAATGAGTTGCCTTCCCTGCAGGCCATACAGCTGACTTTCCCCCCTACAGGTTTGCTATAGGGAGGAGTAAAACAATCCCAACTACCTCTCACTTGAATATGATTGATTATTCAAATGATAAAATCTTACCATAGGAATTCAGAATGGATGACAAAAAGGTCCTTACAGCTGTAGCTTAGCAGGCTAACTAGAGTAAAGCCTTTTGAAGCACTACTGGCACCCTAATCCTGGGCAACTTCGCATGCAGGCAATAAGAGGACAGCAGGGATGGTTAACACCATCATCCAAGGAACAGAGAATTGAGGGCAGTAGTTCTCAATCAGGACACACATCAGAACTGCCTAGGCAGTACAGTCTGGGACTCAGCTTCAAACTACACGGAACCTGTTTCTGCCTGTGGACCAGATAGTTTAGTTACTGCCCCACCCTACCACCACAGCATGCGTCGTCTGTGTGTGCGTGTGTGCACTGCACGTGCATGTGTGTCCTCAGGTGTGGGAGGAGAAGCCAGAAATCTCTCCTGCTGCCTTTAGTAGCAATTGTTTTGTGATGAGAAAAGCAATGGCAACATTTAAAATCATAATGATTATTAAAGCTCAAATGTGTATACTTTACTTTCTTTTGATAGGTTTCTCTTAATAAAGTTCTAATGATCATTTCAGGAACCTACTTTCATTTGGGAAAAACAGGACCATACAATGTGTACAAGACAGAAATTTCTACAGACGCTTTATGAAAGAAAACATCTTACCAAAGTTACTATTGCACATTCAGCAGTTAGTTGTGCGGCACTAAAAAGAGTACGAACAAATCTGTAAATGAATTTGTGTTCAGGATCATGCTTAAAGTATTCCTCTGGAACCTTTTCTCGCTGAAAGGAGAAAACATGCAATATAAGTATCCATTGAAGAAACATACTTAAAAGTACCCTTAAGGTAGCAGTCTTCACACTTGGGCCCACGTGCCCCTTAAAAGAATTTTGATTGGGTGACATGTCTTGTAGTCTTTCAAATATAAACAATGGGATCCTAAAATACCACAGAGATCTAATACTCACCACCATTCATTAAAGAAAAATACAGGCACAACCTCAGAAAATTTATGTATTTCCACCTTCCTCCCTACAGAATTCTAACCAAATGTAAACTATTGGGTTGGCCAAAAAGTTCAATTGGTTTTAAGTAAAAATAAAAGACACGGTTTTCATTTTCACCAAGAATTTTATTGGACAATATATTCACTAACCAAACAAATTTTTTGGCCAACCCAATATTTTTAGGCTCAAAAGTCTTGCTGATCTGTATGTCACATTTTCTGTCACACATTTCCAGTGCCCTGTAACCATAAGGCTCTAAGAATGTGCTGTCCTATACAACAGTCACCAGCCACATGTGGCTACAGAGCACCCGAAGAAGTGAATTTTAAAACTTTGTCATTTTAATTGGTTTAAAATTTAAACAGTTTTCGAATTTTCTTCTTAAAGGTCTTAGCATATTAGGTTTATTTACAAATATTTATATTGTTTGATGCTATGGCAAATCATCCTTTAAAAAGACACATTTTCTGTTACTTGGGTATGTTTACTTACCTGCTCACTATTCATACAAAGTGCAACTCGGTTCTTATCCATCAACCCCTTATACAACATGCCTTCAGCAAAATGACTAGACACAACATGGCGTGGGGAAGAAGACTTAAAGGAAGATGAATTTGACTTCGAGCTGGAGGAAGTAGTTTTCTTCTAGTAATTAATTTCAAAGCAAATCAGCATGAAATGAACACAACTGTATAAGAGAAAAGTACAACTTCAATAAAACTGACACTTACTGTGAGTGGATGTGATCTCTCATCAAAAATATCCAAGGATCTATCTGCATCTCTATAAAATAAGAATGTGCATTTAAAAAATTAATTCAGGAGTTACTATCTTAGTAAAATATCTGCTAGGAGTAGAGAGAGGGGTAGAGGAAGCTTAACCTTCAATAAAGCAAACAGTTTTATAAATTCTTCTCCTGGATTCTGCCCTTAGAGAGGTTTCCTGACCTATTTTTACTCAGCACATCAAGTTCTGTGAAATCTTTTCTACAACAACCAGCCAGAGTTGCCTTTATAAGCACTGACCCTCCCTAACAGGCAATATATTTTCACTCCTCTAACCTCACACTGGAATATGCAAGAACATTTTATAAAGCAGTGGTGGTGGGCAATAAATTCTTCTAACTTCGATGAATGTGAATATGACATTCATGGTTTTTTCCCGTTTTTTTTCTCTTTAGTTCTTTATATTCTTATTGTGTATTTCTTCCTGTCTCTTTTAAATAGTTTGAGTTAAAAATGTAATTGTCTTTTTATTTTAAAAGAAACCAGGCCTTTTATTTAAAATTTCACCACACTAATACATTGTGCTCATTTAAACAGCGGTCCTCTAAATGTGCTCTGCAGGCCTCTGGGATTCTCCCCTATCCCCTCTTCGGGAGGCCCAAGAGATCAAAACTGCTTTTCTAAGAATACTAAGACACTACCTGCCCTTCACATTGTGTGACATTTGCTAAGGATGTATAAAAGCAAAAGTGGGTAAAACTGCTGGTTTCTGAGCATGAATCAAGGCAGTGGTACCAAACTGAATTAGAAGTCATTCAATTATTCACTGCCACTTGCAGTTAAAACTCTGCTTTAAGAACATCCTTGATAAAAGAGTAAAAATTAATAGTGTTCTTAAACCTTGGTCCTTCTTTTTAATATTCTGAATAAGTGGAAAGTATGCATTAAGCACTCTTACATACTGAAATGTGGCTGTGTTAAGGAAAAGCACTTGTGACTCAGTGGTAAGTCATTTTTTTCACAGAACACCATCTTTATTTGAAACACTTTTTTCATCGAGCACCCTCGTTATTTGAATGTACAACTGACAGTCATTCTTTCAAATATGAACAAAGTGATCCTGTCACTTCAAGGAAAGTAACTCTAAAGTTACTTGTTGCCAATGATAAAATTCAAGCCATCAAGCGAAGAATATCAGGATTTTTGGAAAACTTGTACCTTCTATTGTGAACTTGACAACTTCTCAATACTTAGAAGACTTTTCTGGTAAGGTTGGTGGTGATACTAACAAAAGTGAGTTTTTGACACTGTCTAAAGAAATGTGAACCAATACTTTCCAAATGACCAACGTATATTATTATAAAGTCATGTACAGGTAAAAAGATCTACTCAGTATGCATGACAGATCAATGGGTATTAATTTAACATAGTATTTACTACAAGTTCATTGATACGATTTAGAATTCCATTTTAGCTAATTTAAGAAACCAGCACACGCAGACTTTTGGTACAGTATCAAAGAATATACCAAATTATCTGAAGGCCTTAAAAATACACCTTTTTCCAACTATACATCTGCACGTGGCTGGATCTTCTTCATACTGTTTCTTCAAAACAAATGACTGAAGACAGAACAGATATGAGAATCAGCTGTCTTCTATTAAGGAGATAATTTTCTCTCAACATTTTTTGTTGTGGAAAATAGTGACTTTTCATTAAAAAAAAAAATGACTTATGGTGAACACTGGGGTTCCCAATCAGGGGTGATTTCGTCCCCCAGGGGACTTCTGGCCATTGCTGGAGACAGTTTTGGGTTTTCGTAATGTGGAGGGAAGAAGGTGCTACTGGCAACTAGTGAGTAGAGGCCAAGGGTACTGCTATATATCCTATAACACACAGGACAACACCCCACAGGAAAGCATTATCTAGCTCAAAATTTGCATAGTGCTAAGGAAAACCCTGTTTTAACATACAATGGATTTAATTTTTTAAATTCTCAATTTCAATCTCTAATACAGTAAATTATCAATATAACCCATATAAACAAATACTCTTTGGGATGCTCAGTAACTTAAGAATTAAGAGTCCTAAGATAAAAATGATTTACTTCAATATTGTAATAAAAGCACTCTAATAATAAATGCTTATGCCAGTAACGTCTATAGTTATTACCTAACACTAAACTTGATATCTTGTAAATTAATTAGCTGGAATAACAAGATAGGTTTTAAAAGAGCTCACCTGTTCTTTATGTGGTAATATATTGCTAAGGTCACACTGTGGAGGGAAAAAAATACATTGTAATAACTGATTTTTATCATATCAAGCCTGAAGACATTTTTAAAAAGGGGTTAGCAAGGAGGGAAGACCTTCCAGAGGCCCAGTGGCCCCGAAATCCTCTAATTCAGAACAGTACTACATGGGTGCTTTCCCCCTTGTTTTAGGTTCTTCGGCTTTTAGCAAAATTAGGAGACCCAAAATGCTAGATATGCTGTTAGAAGGCATGTTTTGGTTGATTATTATAATATATAAATTATTACATATTTCCCCTGTCATTTGTCCTTCTACCCACAAAACCTTCTGTCATGTACAAGTTATATCTATCTAGACACATGCTTAAATTTAAGCCATATAGTAGTTTGTATGTGTGTGTGTGTGGTTTTTTTGTTAGCCCCTGCATTTCAGTTGATTTAGTTCGCTATCCACCTACCCATCCGTTTTCCATTATTTCCCTAAAAGTAAATAATAAAAGTGCTCTATACCAAAATAACTTAAAATCACTTTTACATAATTATTAGAAAATTTAATAGCAAAATTTTATAGCCACAAAACTGATGATAGTTCTAGCTATCCTGAAATAAGCAGTGCTAATAATACAGCATAATACTACACAGTATACTATTAATGACAGGTATTTCCAAATTATTTTAAATAAAGTATTAACGAACAGACAGATACAAGTCCTTAGGTACTCTTTTTTTTTTTTTTTTTTTTTTTTTTG